TTTAACAAAAAAAATGGATCTAAATGAGTTAAACATGAGCTCCTGCCACTCAGGCCTCATTCCCCATTGATATTTCTGAAATATACACCTGTATGACGGCCACTGGGGGTGCGAAGGGATCGATCACATGAACGTGAAGATTGGAAAAGAGCGGCACAAACCTTCGGCGAAGGGGACGACGATCAGGGCTCGGTCCACGAACACCGTGTTGGTCAGATGCTGGGAAACTCCGACTGACTCCGGCTCGTGGAACTTTACAAAACATACACGTGAAGTCACAGGCAAGGGAGAATCACTGAAAGAAAATATAGATGCTTTTGCGAGATGTACACACAACGATCAACAACACCTCCTGCAGTCAAACAGTCACGCTTCAGGCAAATGCGCCAGATCCGGCTCGGGTTTAGATCCACCAGCGGCCTACCTTCGCTGCAGATATGACCACGCCAGATGTTTTTCGATGGGTGAAAAACAACAAAAGCACAGAACAGAAGTTAGCTAGTGGAGAAGCCTACATACTGCCTGATGGTGGAGCAGAGAAATCAAGACACCAGGCCTGGAAACAGCATGCATGTGTGTTCCTAAGCCTAAAACAGGGCTTCTGCGGGTTTCAAGTAAACACTGAAAGCCTTTAATGCGTTTTGGCAGGTCATTTACACGCTGAAAACGCAAGCTTTAGAAAACGGGTATCAAAGCGCAAGTGTTTGAAAACGATTCCATTGTTGTCTTTACGTAAACTACGTGAAAACACATGCATATGTGTTCAGCCTACAGGCGTTTCTTTAAAAAGTGACGTCGCCACCTACTGGCCTGGTGTGCATAATACTGCGTTTTCAGGCGTTTTGGTGTGAACCGGGTTCGTTTTGCCAATGCTGTCGTCCGTACGTGAAACTTTTCAAAAATGCAAATGCATTTTTAGTACATTGCTGTTGCATTTACGACCAAGTAAATAAAATGTACGGAATAAATTGAATACAACACGATACGTCAATATGATGTCTCTTTAAAGTTTGAAAACACAACGTAAAAGCAATCTCAATTACTTTTTAAGAAACTGTGATTTGACCTTCATCCTGCTGAGCTCCATTGAAGTCCATTATATGGAGAAAAATCCTGGAACGTTTTCCTCAAAAACCTTAATTTCTTTTTACATCTCGGATGACATTGAAGCGAGAAAATTACCAGATTTCTATTCTGGAAGTGAACTACTCCTTTAAAACGTGAATTTCTCTATTCCAAACACTATAATTAGAGATCGACCGATATATCGACTTACCGATATTTTTCCCGATATTTAAGCATTTTACAATAATCGGATATCGGTTTTGTAATATGGGATTCACCGATAAACGCCACCATCTTGTGGATGTTTTGAGAATTGCGTGCAGGATCGCCATTGCAGCGCGTCTGAGGGCAGACGAGACAACAACTGCGTGCACAGGTACTTGATTTACTGTAGTTAGTAAACTTTATTTAACATTAACGCACAAATTAGATGCATTACATAAATGCCTGATATGCAGTTCATGCAGCTTGGCTCGAAGAAATAGAGTCACGTAAAACTTTGCGTGAATTAAATAATATGCAGCCATGGCTGAGCGCATGTTGGAAATAAAAACGCTAAATTTACTTCTCTCTCTCTCTGTTGTAGCACGCATTTCATAATCTAGAACGACAAAAACATTATTAGTAATTCTGATATAACATGCCAGTTGAGAAATGCAATAAAACACGATGTTCTGCGTTACATTTCAATATTCCAGAGAACATTATCCAGTGAATTATTCTTCACTCTTTAGCCGATTAAACAGCTTATAAACCTACTAAAACTGTAGTTTAAAATAGTTGATACGACTCCTTTCCTTTATTTATTTTCTGCATTTGAAATCATTAGACCGTCTACATTTATTTTGCTTATTGTTAATATTAGTGTTGCTGCTGATGCTTTAAATAAAATGTTTTTTATTGTAACGTGAAGATTAAATTTAACATGAAAGACTGCTAATTTTCAACACTTTTTTAAAGATGGCTGAAAGGAGGAAAAACCAAAGTGAAGTATGGACTTACTCATTTATTTACTTTATAACCGTAAATATCGGTTCTGGATATCGGTTATCGGGCACGCAAATAATTAGTATCGGTTATAAAATATCAATATCGGTCGATCGTTAACTATAATGCGCAAGTAACTTTTACTGTACCTTTGAAACACTGCCCCCCCATTGGCAGATTCTTGTTGTAATCATAAACCCACTTCATTACGTTCAGTTTCTCATAAAACAAAACTTAATATCTTAAATTTTACATTTCCAGTAAATGCGTCCTGATTTAAGGATGCTTAGATATCCATGCAGCGCACGCAACATTTAATGCTTTAATAAGGACTCAAGTCTTTAATTTGTTGAAGGGAGAATTAAAGCTACAGAAACCCTGCGCGTGTGACGTCATCGCGTTGCGTAAGGCGTGACGCACGGCGCTTCATACTGTAAAACAAGCGCATCAAACATCAGTTATTAGCTCATCCACGATAGACTAGATTACGAATAACGTTAGTTGATCGAGAGCGAGTGAGAATAACGAGGTAGTTAGCGATTGGGCGGGTTTTGTTGAGAAAATCTGGCAACCCTGGCGGCGGCGTGTTTAGAGTTATATTCAATCGGGATGAATAGACAGATATTCGCTATTGTTTTATAGAAGATCTACAGCGCATGCGTGTATACAGCTCTCTCCTTATTAAACACACGTATCTGGATGTTTTGAAGACTTTATACTCACTCTGGAGGAAAGAGCCGGAGCTCGTCGATGGTTCCGATGAAGCCGAACAGGGTTCGCATCTGCTCCGCGGTGCTGCTCGGCGACACGTTCGTCACCTGGATCACACTGGTGCTGGACGTCATTGTGGCGAACGTTAATCGAAAGGCATTTAAATCCGTGCGGTAGAAGCGCGAGTTCTCCTCAGCGAACCGAATCAAGCGTCTCCCTCGCGGCCTGCTGCGGTCTAATGGCGCGTGCTCACTAGAACATGGCGGCGCACGGGGGCCGATTTCAAAATACAAGTCCTCGTGACGCGCTGTAGACGCGTTCTGTTTCAGCGCACAGGCCTATGGAGGACGAAACCTGCCAAAACAATAAATAAATAAATGTGTGCGTAAATACACGTATTCTTGTTTAAATACATACATAAATAATTAAACATGGGATGAAAGTAGGCAAATAAATAAAATAAATTGGTGGGCAAATGGAAAATGTTTTTTTTTTTTGTCGCATTTATTTTTCCTCTGCGCAACATGCTAATGAGAGGGTGTTAATTATGCAAGAGTAGGCGGATCGTGAGCGTTTGCATGCGCATTAACTTCATCAGTCAAGGGGACTGGTTATTATCTTACACTTTCTCATAGAACTAGTTTTGTAGTTATAATCATGAGAGCGCTAAATCATAAAAGATTTTAAGTGGCCAATGTACAATAGTAATGCTTACATAGCTCTTAATTGCAATACTGAACCGTTAATTGCTTAATAAACAGTTTTGTCGCCTGCATCTGATAACTAATGGGGGGAAACGGTCTGTTCCTCGATTAAACCACTTCACAGCAGTTCTCGAGGATGTATATGAGCCTCTGTTTGTACAATAATACATTGAGAATCAGCTGAGATGTACCCTTGTGTTGTGTATGTCACTCATTTGGTTCTCCCGCCGTAAAGAGAGAGAGATCGCTGCAGATCGACTTGGTTGCAGAAGACTGTTTACTGAGCATAAACATGATCTTACACGTACCGAGCCGGTAAAACCATCCTAATAAACACTAGCGGCCATCAAAAGAACGAGCCCTTATTCCACGGATAGCGTGAATAATCTGACGATGACCGTGGGATGCTGATATTACAGTCGTCTCTAGCTGGACACTCAATCGGGTTACAAAATCTGACGTCAGGAAACACCTCTGGGCATTCCGTCGGGTCGTGTGTGAAGCCACAGATACTGTACGGACAATACGGCTCAGTTTTCTATGTATCTTGCTCTGTTGAACGGCAAACGTGACTTTACTAGGCTTTACTGGATTAACACCATACATCTCCTGTCAGCGGGAAAGCCACGCCTCCAGCTATCACATGACCCGAGCAAGTCCATATAGTCCACACCCTCTCATTAGCATGTTGCGCAGAGGAACAATAAATGCGGAACTACATTCAGAAATAAATGAGCGATCAAAGGAAAATAAATAGGATGAGTTTAGCAAACATTTTCCATTCGCCCACCAATTTATTTTATTTATTTGCCTACTTTAATCACGTTTAATTATTTCTATATGTATCTAAACAAGAATTTGTGTATTTATACACACATTTATTTATTAGCATATTTATTTGTGCATTTATTTATTTATTGTTTTTGCAGGTTTGGGTCTCCATAGACATCGAGATGATTCACATGTGCTGAAATGTCATGAAAATAATATCAAATTACAAAAAAAAATAATGGTTTTTGTATTTAACATATATTTTTCTATTGATGATAATGTGTTTATGTGGGAAAACTGTACAGTTATTAACATTTACTTATATTAATAACATATTTAGTTGTAAACTATTGTAAAATGATAATTTAACATGCCTGTTTCTTTATATGATTTTATCACCAGACAATGAATATAGAAATATTAGCGACAATGTGCAACAAAGTAACCTTTAGCATACTGTATATGAGTGTCATTTTGGCAAAAATTAAATAGAATAAGTGTATTAAATGCATTACAAATTGGCACTAAAGACAGAAAAAAAAGAATTGCTTTAAAGTTGTTTTGATCTCTTGTTTTGAAATACTAAAACGCAAACTAGCGCGTGTCACGTTACATCCGGTGTGGCGGTGACGCGGGCGGAAGTCGTCGCTCCGTGTCAGCAGATAGGAAATGGAGAGTGAAGGGGCGTCATCGATAGATTAGCGGCGGTGAGAGTGATCGATTACTCTGTTGATGCTGGACCGATGCTGGTGAACGGAACCCATGGAGCCCCATGAGGAGAAACCCATCATCTACACGATGGAGAACAAACCCATAGTGACCTGTGAGTGTGTGTGTGTGTGTGTGTGTGTGTGTGTGTGTGAGAGAGCGAGAGAGAGTGTGTGTGTGTGAGAGAGCGAGAGAGAGTGTGTGTGTGTGAGAGAGCGAGAGAGAGTGTGTGTGTGTGAGAGAGCGAGAGAGAGTGTGTGTGTGTGAGAGAGCGAGAGAGAGTGTGTGTGTGTGAGAGAGCGAGAGAGAGTGTGTGTGTGTGAGAGAGCGAGAGAGAGTGTGTGTGTGTGAGAGAGCGAGAGAGAGTGTGTGTGTGTGAGAGAGCGAGAGAGAGTGTGTGTGTGTGAGAGAGCGAGAGAGAGTGTGTGTGTGTGAGAGAGCGAGAGAGAGTGTGTGTGTGTGAGAGAGCGAGAGAGAGTGTGTGTGTGTGAGAGAGCGAGAGAGAGTGTGTGTGTGTGAGAGAGCGAGAGAGAGTGTGTGTGTGTGAGAGAGCGAGAGAGAGTGTGTGTGTGTGAGAGAGCGAGAGAGAGTGTGTGTGTGTGAGAGAGCGAGAGAGAGTGTGTGTGTGTGAGAGAGCGAGAGAGAGTGTGTGTGTGTGAGAGAGCGAGAGAGAGTGTGTGTGTGTGAGAGAGCGAGAGAGAGTGTGTGTGTGTGAGAGAGCGAGAGAGAGTGTGTGTGTGTGAGAGAGCGAGAGAGAGTGTGTGTGTGTGAGAGAGCGAGAGAGAGTGTGTGTGTGTGAGAGAGCGAGAGAGAGTGTGTGTGTGTGAGAGAGCGAGAGAGAGTGTGTGTGTGTGAGAGAGCGAGAGAGAGTGTGTGTGTGTGAGAGAGCGAGAGAGAGTGTGTGTGTGTGAGAGAGCGAGAGAGAGTGTGTGTGTGTGAGAGAGCGAGAGAGAGTGTGTGTGTGTGAGAG